AGGAAGGAAAGATCTCTCTGGTGTGGCATCTGCACTGGGTATGGCTTGAAAGGAAGTGGAATTCCACCAGAGTTCTTCCCTCCCAGCAGAGCTGAGTCAGGGTTTAAGCTAAAAAGATATCCCAACACAATTGAAGCCTGTCTTAAGCTTACCTTTTCCCTATGAGACCCTACACCATGACACCATTTCTGTTTTTATTGTCTTCTAGTACCCCCAAAATTTACCAAGCCAAGGAGGGTGTTCACTTCCCTTGAGTGAGCATGCAGCAGTGAGAGGAGACAGCTTCTGTCGCTCAGCACTGGCTCAGGACCTCAGAAGTGTGTGGTCACCCTCAAAGGCCACACATGGTTTCTGTTGCGACTTTGGTGACATCAGTAGTTTGGTTCACTTGTTTATTGAAGCAAGGGCAACAGAAAACTGTGAATGCCCATCTTTCAGTGTGAGTTAAAATACTCTATAAAAACTGTTATCAAAAGTTTTTCCAGGTCTAGTTCAGTTTGAAAAGATACAGCTTTGTACAAAATGCCAAATGTTTCCTGATGAAGCTTTCTGTTCTGATTGCAGTTTATGAATTCACATAAGGCTGTGAAAAGGAGCAAAAACAAATGCCCAGATTCATTGAATCAGAGAAGATGTTTTATTAACTGGATTCTCTCATTGCCCTTTCTTTTCATGCCAGGTGCAGCAACAGAAAAATAAATTCAATTCGCAGACTCCTGTCATCCTCCGGATCTTTGGATCAGTTGTTTTTCCCTCTCAGCCTCATTCATTGCTTCTGAGGATGAACTTCTAAACACCTGCTGTGGTCGAAACTGTTCTTACATCATCTCCTGAACACAGTGACTTCAATTACATGAAACCATGAGGTTAATGCCACAGTCGAGACTTCAAAGCTGTTTCTGCAGACCTGAGCTGATTCTTTTGGAAAATGCTACAGTAGCTGCTAGTTCTTTACCAATAGAAGAATTACCAAAGTTGTCAGTATTCTGCTTATCATGCAATACAAGAAGATGAGAAAATTTTCTAGCAGAACTGCAGTCTGAGTGGGGGTGGCAGTACCGTAGGATGAGTTCTCAGCTTAATCTCAGATTAGTTTCGATTTTTGTCTTTTTGTATAAAATGGAGATGAATATCCTTGTTCTGTACTACCTACTTGAACCAGATGACCTTTAAAAGGTCCCTTCCAACTCAAACTATTCTATGATACTATGACTCTATGAAATTGTTAGTTGTGCTAGAAAAGGGATTCTCACAAGAAAAAAGGTGATTACTGGGCTTACTAATGAGGGTAAGAGATCAGGCTGCAAGGAGAACTATCTTCAGAGACACTTTGAACAACCTTTCAGAAGGGGGGAGACTGATAAGTAACTAAATGACTCTGATGGGTTATGTGCAATAGCAGAAAACTTTCCTCTGGCCCAAAAGTCCCCTCTGGTTCTATGCGTCTGAGTTTTTTGGACAATGAAATCCTTAAATGTTAATTATGCAAGTAGCAACAGCGATTATCTATTGATCAATAATATTAATTACGGACTGGATTGATTGGATGTTGCTTGTGACTGAATAAAACCAGAAGAACAGACAAACCTTTTCTTGTGAAATAAGCCTCCCAGAGGAAAAGCATGTTTATCTAGGCTTGGCTTTCAGAGGAGGTTTCACCAATTCCTGTTCATTTGGGTAACACCAATGGAATTAATCCAGACTAATGCATTTTGTTGAGTTCATGTGAAGGTGAGATCAGAATAGGATCCACTGTCTCTAAGTAGCTCCAAGGTATGCTAATTGTCAATATTAAGATTCTAAAACTTTCTTGGATAAACTGAAACATTACTTTTCTTTCCTATAAAGCTTCATGAATGTACAGCTTGGTTCCTGGATAGAGATCACATCAGCTCCACAGTTATTAATTTACGGATTTCTCACTGACCTTAGCTCAGCTCTGGGAATGGTGCCAGCACAATTACAGTAACTCTGAATAAAGAGACATAAAGCTTCTGTATCTACCCTGAAATTGTGCCAGAATTTTCTCTTCCTCAGTGATGGAAAGATGCATTTCTTCAATTGGTTTCAAATAGTTCAGACTGCATTGGCCGTAAGTAGATTATTTCCAGCAAAACAAAGGAAACAAGAAAACGACCATGCAGATGTGTGCATACACAATACAGATACTCCACAGATAATCTTTGGGAAGTGTGTCCCGAGAAGGTGTATGTTGGGAAACTGAGTCAAGGTGATTTGAGCTAGTTACTTGGAAAAAAATGGCAGAATTGGGAATAAAATTCCAGGGGCAGATGCTTGATTCAGTATTGTTTTCACTGAATCACACTACCTTCCCAGAGCACGTCAAGGCCCATTGCCTTCCTTCCTGTGAAGATGGGCAGCTGGATTGCAATAACACCAGGTGGAGCTGAGTGTGCTCATCACCTTGGAAAATCAGGCCCCTGGTGATTCTCTCTGATGTTAATTGTCCGTCAGACCCTGCAAGAGGGGAGTCAACACATTTCCTGACCTATGGTCTAAGTGTTTCCCAAACCCTAGAGTAAATTGAATGTAGTTATGGAGGAAATGCTGATGCAATCCACCAGCAGCTGCTGCTCTCCCACATCCTCACAAAGAAGGTGTGAGGGGGTGAGTTGCATGCAAGTAGTGTAGTCAAAACCTCAGCCTCTTCTACACGGCAGGCAGGACTCTGTGCCTTCCTGCCTCTGAGAGAAACGCTGCTAAGGGCTGCTCCCGAGAAAATCCTGAATACAAACCCCTGAAAAAGCAGGCTTTTCATGTGGGACCACTGAGCATCCAACCACATCTTCCTAGGTGCCTGATTTATTAATCCTATATTGAAATGTGGAAATGTAGGTATCTTCTAAGTGTGAGTGAGAATGGTAAGAGCTGCATTAGAGTTTCACTCTTGCACTGAGATATTTGATGATGTCAGCAACAAAAGTTGAACCACATCTGTTGGATCCAGATTATCATAAACTTCATTCTTACGTGTCTAATCTTTCGTCAACTCTGGTCTGGAAATTTGATCTTTTAACCCGTTTGGGTTTTAGTTGGTTGTTTTCCTGGTTTTTGATTTTTTTTTAATGCAAAGTCATTTGGTGAAACCAGCCTTGCTATCTGCCACAAGCTGCATTTTTTGGTCTTTAACACACTGCAGGCGTGTGGGATCACCTTTGTGCATGATGCCATTAGTTTTTCATCGGCCAGCAAAGGTTTTGGATGTTGTGTGGAACAGAGATGTCCCCAACCCCTCCTTCAGCCGTGCGATCACCCATCACCCAAATCCCACACAGGGCCTTGCTGCCTTTCCCGTCCCATTCCGTGCCCACCCCATTTTGCTCCGGCTGTTTTCCCGCTGCAAGCACGCTGCTCTGCTATTCCCAGCCGTGAACCCTCCGTGCCTCGGGAGACGCTCCAGCCTCTCCTCCCCCTCCTCCCGCCGGCCAGCGGGCGGGGCCGGTGCGATGCGGAGGATGGACGGACGGACGGACGGACGGATGGGAGGATGGATGGATGGATGGGAGGGTGGACGGACGGATGGGAGGATGGATGGATGGATGGGAGGGTGGACGGATGGATGGGAGGGTGGATGGATGGATGGGAGGGTGGATGGACGGACGGGCCCGCCCCAGGTGCCGGCGCCGCGGCGTTGCCGGGCGACCGCTGCCGCTGCCTGCCCGCTGCTCGGCCGTTCTCCCCGCGGCCCCGGCACGGCCGGCAGGTAGGAACCGGCCCGTGGGGACACCGGGAGGGAGCGCTGGGAGGAGCCCCGAGGTGTCTCTGTGTGTGGGGGGGTGGCTGGGTTCCCCTCCTTTCCCAGGGCTTGCGCGCCTGGTTTTAAGGGGCGTTGGGAAAAGGCCGTTGTGGGGACCATGGCGATCGGTGTGGGACACACGGCCTGGTGCGGGACATACGGACTGGTGTGGGACACACGAACTGGTGTGGGACATACGGACTGGTGTGGGACACACGGACATGTGTGGGACACCTCCAGTGCTTCCTAGATTTTGAAGACTCCTCCAAAGCATGTGCATCACGGTAGCAAATGCAGCCTATGTGCAGGTGGAAAGCACCTGAGGTCTGAGACTGAGAGTCTCTGTTTGTGTTCTGGCAGATGTAACAGCGTGTTTAAATTTTATGTTTTGGTGGAGCTGTGAGGAGAACAAAGTTGATGAATAAATAATCCTGGGCAGGTGTGAGTTGTAGAAGTATCCCCAGGTATTTGACACTGAGAGAACGTGCTCCTCCATGGGCCCTCCTCAGCTTCTCTGGAAGGGCTGAAGAGATTTCCCGTGCCAAATTTAGGGGCTTTAAGCCTTTTTCAGCTTCTTGCAGAAATGGCTCGGGTGGGGTCCCTGCCCTGCCTATGACCCCTCTGTGGTATGGAAAATTGTTTCTGTCGGCAAGGAGCTCGCTTTATCCCCTCACAGTTTTTAGCAGTCAGTAATGAGCGAATTGGGTACCTTCAACTCTCTCCCTTTGTCTTGTCTGTGAGGCCTGTGCTATCCTGGCTCTGCACCTGTCCTCTATAGCTGTTGATTCCTGATAAAAATGTTCCTGCTCACCTATTACTTTCCATTTTGGCTGCTTTTGCATGGCAGTGTTTTCTGACAGCTGATACTGTGAAAGTATGCTAAATATTGATGTTAACCTTTTATCCCATGCTACCCCAATGGTGATGTTTTCTCTAACACAGAATCAACTTACTCCTACCAGAAAAATCAGTGCTCTTTTTGTTCAGTAAAAAACTTCTTTTTGCCCAACTATGTAGATTCTTCTCTATCAAATCCTTCACCTTCTCATGGTCTCTTTGGGAACTCTAATGAGTTACACTTTCATTAAGCTCTTCCAGGCTCTACTGCTTCGTGTCAAGTTCCACTTTTAAGCCTTATTGAGTATGGACTTCTGCTGCTACAGTGAATAAAGTACTTCTCTTTATTAATTGCTAAGTGCTCAGAATCTCTTGGGTTTGTTTTGTTGTTTTGTTTTTTGTTCTCTTGAAGATTGTGTTTTTACTGTTGTTTTAGCAGGACATGGAACAATTAAATAACACTATGAGCACCTGTCAGTCAAGATAAATGAAGATAAACAGTTGTGACTACTGAATTAAAATCTCTGTAGGAGAGGAATGGGAAATGATGCAGAACAGCAGTGGCATTGGAAGAAAAGGTAATATAATTTCTAATGTGCAAATTGCTGAAAATGTTTCAGAACTTTTAAAAATCACTCTCACATTTAATGGTATTATTTTTCTTCATGTTATTTTGTCTGGTTTCAGTTTGCCTAAAATCTTGGATTTAAAATACAGTGTTCAGGCATGTCAGATCTCAGAGCTGCTGGCATTAACAGGTTTTGTTGAGGAGGTTGTGGTGATTTTTTTTCTGGACTTTGTGTTCTCTCTCTTGACTTTAACACTGAGAATGACTATGTTCCTGTAGGTCTCACCTCTCAGTGACAATCACTGAAATTGACATTTTCGTTTACTACTATAATGGTTAGTGTTTTTATACCTTCTATGGAGTCACATGTGGGCTTGAAAAAAATTGGAAGCAAAAGCAATTTTATATCAGTAGGGTTGCAAGTCCTTGCAGTAATACAAATCAGAAGACCAGATTTGCCATGGCAGATGCAATAAATACTAACATGTCTGTATTAAAAGTAAAAGATTGTGGACTCTGGCTAGTTCAAAGAAACATTATCTGATATTAAAAAAAATATTAGAAAGCACGTATTTCTTTGACTACAGCTTCTCACATCTGGAAGCAGTATTTGAAGTATAGCAAGCTGGCTGTTTATCTTGCATATTTTACATCTTTAATTTGAAATTATGTTTTAGAATTAAGTTCTCAAACTACCTTGTTTTTCTTTCCTTTTTTTTTCCAATGTTCCTAATATATGTGGTGATTTGGCATGGTTTTGCTTTATTTTAATGGAGTATCCACCAACATTCAAAGTGGGGAAAAGAAACATATATAGAATGAAAGGGCTTAAGTAAATTATTGATACTTGGGAAAGAGCATTCAGCTCTTGTATTTGTTATCTGAAAGTGTAATCTGGCAGCTGGTCAAACAGTGTTAAAACTTTTGAGAATAAGGATTGAAAACAGTGGAGGTTCATGTACTGTCTCTATGGTCATATCTGGAATTTTGGCCATATCTTGTGCAAAACTAATCATCCTGGAGGGTAAATGGCAGAACTGAAGTTCTTTCTATTAAATGCTTCAGAGAGAAGATGAGATGATGCAAAAGAAAGCTATAATTTGATGAATGGCATGGACAGTTGGATATATCCTCCATAATTCTAACTCTTGTTGACCTAATTTCTAATTTTAGCCTCCAAGCAACCTATGCCTGTCTTCTACAATTTAAATAAACCCAGTGCAAAAATGACTTTTCTTAGTTTTTAAAACTGCTTCCTGATACATTTCTGTATCTTCTTTGGTCATTGGATGATTGTTTGTCATGTCCTGACACATGACAAATTACTGCTTCCCCAGACACCTCCCCAGCTGTTGAACACAACTCACCTTTGGGACTGGGAAGATACTGATTGCCAGAAATTACAGCAGCAGGCCAGGGAAAGGATCATTTTGGACTATCTCTGCTTCTGATAGTATTTTTAAAGGATCTGTTTCTGACTGCAGTAGTTGCCTTGGCCCAGCAGGACAGTTATAATGCCACCTCATCAGTAGCCCAAAATTATTTCCCAAGGTTCACTTTTCACTGTGAATCTTCTGCCCTTGCTAAAATTTTGGCAATGTCTGTTACTAAATAAGCTCCTGTGGCATCACCCACTGTTCAGTGTTTTCCTACAAGTTCATCTAGAATCTATCTCTTTTAATATAATCTGTCCCTTGTGAGCAACACATTGGAAATCAGAAACTTCCCAGCCACTCTTCAAAAGGCTTTGCAGGCCAGGAAGGAATCTCTTGCTTCAAATAGCTTAATTACCAAACAAAATGGACTGAAAATTGTTTGAGGACAACCAGAGTATGCTGAAACTCAGAAATGCCATATATGATGCATTTTCATCCTGCACAGAAGTTTGTATTTCAAAAGGCTCATAAATGCAATGCAATAGTAGCTGAGGTAAAAAAAAAAAAGGTCGGTTGTTATTGTCCTTTTCTCAGCTGGAATCTGGAAATTCTTTTAAATGGTGGGTACTTAAAATTCCAGTGAAGACCAAAACCATAGAGTTTTTCTTCTCTGCAGCTTTGGACTGTCACTCAGTTCTGAGTCCATGGGTTAGAATATATTTGTTCATCTTGAAAAGATACTGATTCTGCCAAACCTTGCTTTGCTTGTATCCTTTTTTAGTATGTCTAACAACATGCCTAGCATCTAAATTTTTAAGTAATTGCTGAATTATGCCTTTTAAATGCAAGGAAGGTAGATACATCTTCCAGTGACATCTACATTTAAGGAAGGATCTGTGTGTGTGACAAAAGCATGTATAATATATATAATATGTTGATCTCTATGTACCTTGTCATTAGCTATCCATGATAGGACCCCTACATAAGGAAAAGAGGATTTTAACTAGACCAGCCTCATTTCTCCCTTATTTAGCATCTGGACACTGTTGGATAAAAGCTTGTGGCTATGAAGGCCGAATGTGGTTTCCTGATTCCTGGCTACCTTGATAAAATGGTGAGGGACTTATTGTTATGTAGTGCACTGAAACAATGGCAAGTGCATTTGGCAACTCTCTGAGGGTGAAGGCGTTGGTACCTTGGAGCTCTGTTTTTCCATAATCTTTGTTGTTCACCAGCTATCCCCACATCTGCTCTCTGCTTTGGTTTTCTAGGGCTCGTTGTGGGGACAGATAGCTAAAGAGTGTCTTGAGACATTTTCTTACAGCAGGAAGTTCACCTATACATGAAAAAAAACCACCTCAATCTGTAGCATCTTGCAGTTTCATCTAAGGATTTAGATAATGCATACTCATCCATATCCACTGTCTGGAGACTTGCAGTACAGAGAGAATGAATGAACATTTGTAGCCAGACAGAAATTACCACTGACCACCTTCCACCACAGGACTCTAAAAACTAAAACAAATTAATTGGACTTTGATTAATTTTTTCTTTGACATGTAATAGAAAATATAATAGAGAGTGATCTGCTTTCATATCCTGCTATGAGGACATTTTGTTGAGCAATGCACTGAGAGCAGGTACTGGGTGTGCAGCTGCAGTGGGAGCTGCAGGTTGTGCCTGGGTGGGAGCCCCAGGCAAGGGGCCATGACCTGGTGCTGACCCTTCAGACAGCAAAGGGCACAGGGACCTGTGGCACTGGCCAGGGGACTGACACTGGCACACAGCAGGGACCAAGGGCTCAGCAGAAAGACCCCAGACTATCACAGGCATAGAGGGTACAAACCTTTGTTGGAGGTCCTACTGGAGAGGCACCAGCTTGAGTTTTTGTGCCACTGCACCACAGTTTAATTACTGAGAGGATCCAGACGTCTGAGACTCTGCTGGAGGAAACTCAAAGCTGAGCCAAACCCTGTCTAATGACTGTGGGGTGTTCAGGGACCAAGAGGGGAACCCATGGGCCCTCTGGAACCACTCACTCTGAAGGGACTTTGGTCCCAGCAGTGAAAGTCTGGGGTGCTAGGAATGTGACTGCCAGAGTGGCTTCTGAATGGTCAGACAGGGGAGTTTCCTTAAAAATTTGGCAAGCTAGGTCCAGAATTATGTAATATAGGGGCATTGCCAGCTCATATGATAAAACATTTCTCATCACCCTGCTCAGCAGGATCTCATGGGGAAAGTATTATATATGCAACTGTAATTATGAAATTATTATTTTATATAGCTACATCGAATCCGTAGCTATATAAAGGAGAAATGGGTGATATTTAAAGGCATTGCCTTTTTATTATTACTGTTATGTTTTAAAAGAGTATTCGACAATTTTTATCTCAACTGTGTCTGGGTTTGTAGCATGCATTTTCTTCTCTGGGATCACTGCTGCTTTGAGTGACAGCACAGTTTGAACTCAACTCCATGCATGGGAGTATTACAATGTTCACAAAGCTCCCAAGAGCTTTCCCTGAGGAGTCAGTGGGACAGATCCCAAGGCTTACCTGCCATGGTTGTGATAATTGTAGAGCAAGATGTATATTTAATAGCAAAAAAACGGTCAGAACACTCTTACAGCTTTTAAAGCCGTAAATAAAGAAGGTAAACAATGAGATAAATCAGTACACTTGCTTTGTGTGCACATTTGGATGCTTGAACCATGGCCTCAAATTGATTGAACAGTTACACAAAAATATCATTGTAAGCATTCAAGTCATTCAGTGTCATTAAAGTCAGTGAAATTATAGAATTATATTACTTGGGATATTGTTACCTTAATATTTCAGCTTTCCAGTAAAAGCTTTTTCTTCTTTAGTGGGGCACAGAAGTAGAATACTTATGATTGCACTTTATAGTGTTTGCATGATCCCTTGATATTAAAGTAGCATTACTGAAGTCGTTGTTATCTTGTTCTGGTTAATAAAACCAGAAGATTAAAATCAGATTGTTTAGTCATACACACACACACGCACACACACACAAAAAGGCCATATTAATAACAGGACTGGTGTTTTATTTTTCAGCTTTTTAGAAGCTGCACCTGCTAAAATAGACTGATGTGTTGCAGGATGCTTTATATTACATGAACGTTGCAGGAACTGTTTTTGCCATTATGGGTGGATTATTGTAACAGTAGTTTCCTGATGACATCATAGTAAATTCCAGCTGCCCAAACAGTTATTTTCCAGAAGAGGTTATCTGCAGTGCACTTGTGCAAAATTACACTTAGAAAGGGCACTCATAGTTCCCTTGAGACTTGTAAACCAAACGTTTTGTCAAATCCATAGTAAATACAGAATTCTTTGTTTTCATTCTCTGTCAGTGGTAACAGCATGGACACTATTGTAGTTTGTGATTCTGAAATAGACAAAAATTATATTATGCAAGACAAGAGAAACTGAAGTCTGCAGTGCAAGCTTCCTGTCATGAAAGCATAGATCACACAATAGTTCTCAAATGGGTGTTTTTCCTAGAGAATGTTTTGGCTGGTGACCAAAAATATAGATAAGGGCCCAGAGACTGCAGTACCCTCACTGACATGGCACCCTTGGTGTCCAGTGAAGGCATGAGCAGCCACAGAGCAGGAGAGGATACTGGTTGAGAAGCTGGCCTGAGGCAGTAGAGATTCCTTTTTGTATGGGATGTTAGTATGTAGAGGTATACGCCTTTTCCCACAGTGAATTTCGATTTTGTTTTGTTTTAAATGGTAACTTAATTGCTTGGACAAGCTGTTCAGGTAATAACGTGAAGACTGCATTAGAAATTATCATGCCTAGTCACCATTCAGAGGTTCTTTCCCAGTCTTAAGAAGCTGTAATTAATATTGAGTCAAACATTTCTGGCATCTGCTGAATTTGAAATGTGTATTAATATATATTTAATGAAGAATACACAATCCTATCACTGACTCTTCGATAAATCTTGCAGCAGCAAAATAAAATCTTGGAGTCTTACCAGATTGTCAGACCCTAAGAACATCAAATAACTGTTCTCTGCCAATTTCTTTCTAGCAAATTACTGTATTCTGAGGGGATTTTAAATAACATGTTGTTCCAAGGATCATTTAATTTTAATAATGGTTTTTATTACTGGTATTTATATATGTTGAAAATGTCCTGCAGTTTTTAATGAACTGTCACAACATGTCTGTGAATTGAATAACTTGCCATGATTACACACACTCACTTGGGTAAGGAGAGTAGCAGCAGTGGAGAAGATTGACAGATTAACTCTTTGTAGAAATCTTCCATCTCACTGCTCTGGTCATTGATTTCTCCTGCACTCAATGATTATTTGCTTCTACTTATCCACACAAGTAAGAGCCTGCCAAGTTAAGATTTTTTGATGCAAATCCTGCAAAAATGAATTTATTGGTTTCTTTCAATCTTTTATTATTCACAGTGTTCACGTGCAGTATAAAACTTCATTATTATTCCATCCATCTTCTCTTCCCCTGACACACTCGTGCTTACTGGTATTGCTGTGCTGTCCCACTGGATTCACTGCAGGGTTGTGCTAGGTGCAGTCAGCTTCCATCCTTGTGTGTACCACAAAGGATTGCAGGAATGGTTCTGTTCAGCACATGGATCCAACACTCATCCAGTGCAACCACCTTCTCCGTGAAGGAAACCTTCAGGTTTGTGACATTTCAGACCTCTCTAGTGACAACAAAAGTCTTTGCAGCCCCTGTAACCTGTCCCTGTAAACTGTCCCACTGAGGCTAATGCTAGTTTGGGTCAGCGTTGGCTTGTCCTGTGCATTTGGCAGAGCTGTAGGTTTATCAGATGGACCTGATGAAAACAAGCAATGTGACTCCTATGCCTCTAGAAGGACAGATGTTGTGCCAGGCCTCCTTCTTGCTTCTATGCAATGCTGAAGATCTCAGAGATTCATGGATTTTACAAAGTCTTGGCACATCACCACTAGGATTCCTGCACTCTTAATCTTTTTACAATCTCATTTTGAGCATGTTATTTTGATCCATGTTCAGGAGGAGATTCTTTCTTCTCTGGAGAAAGCTTTGAAGTGATAGAAACATGTAAAAAATTGTTTTGCTTGCTGACAATAATTCAACTTGATCCCAAACAATTTGTAATGAAAATACTTTTCTCCTCACTAATCCAATGTTACAATAATTACAAGAGCAGATCAATAGCAGGAAGTATAAAACAAAGTATTACTTCAGATATTAAGCCACAAATTGATCTCCATGTCAAGCCTAAAGTAAATGCTGTATCAACGTGTTTCAAAGATTTGAGGATGTTCTGAAATGTGATGGTGATGGCCCAACAGAGGGAGAACAGGAATTCATTTTATGCAGGTGTGTTAACTCTTTGCAGCCTGCATCTTCAAAATCCTGCTGTTACCTCATTCTGCACTCACAGATTACATCAGTGTTGTCTGACTATTGTTCCACTTGGCTCTGACAACATACAAGATTATCTCTGGATAATAACAATCCTCACTTGACTTAGAAAGAACCACCAGTACTTGCACGCAATCCAACACAAGTCTTGTGCAATTGACAAAGGATTCCAGAATTTATGTGACAAGAATATTCTGCTCCAAATCAGTTATTGACCAAAATAATTCCTTCTTAAGAAAATAATGATGACACCAGAAGGTCTTCATATCACAGAAGATTCTTTAATTTTCTTGGACAACTGATGACTCTTGCAAATCTATACTGACTAAATCATACGGACCTGTTCTAAAATAAGTAGAGGGAAAAAAGTCTGAGAAATTCTAGAATTCTTTAGAAAAATAAACAGGTAATAGAAATTTATGTTTTGTAACTTTTCTTCTAAAATGAAAGACGCTATTTTTGAGGTCTCTTTTCCCTCTTAGTGGGCTGAAGTATGAAAGTTTTCTTTACACTATTGTAGGCACACTGAGTTTTTAGAAGCTGCAAATATCACTGCTTAATTCACTTTATGGTTGTTCTTTTATAAGCCAGTAAGAAAGATTGAAAGGAGTCGTGTGACTTTGAAGAATTTGTTCCTGAATATGAATTTGAATATGAATTTTTAGGCATTGGATATTGCTGTGGCTTAGGTGTAGCACATTTGAGCAGTCAGCTTCTCCTGTAAGAGTGCTTGCCAGGTAGGTGCAGTGACCTGGAAAAATAGGGTTTACTTTCTGTGGGCTTCTTCTGCCCTGCTGAATGTACAGAAGGAGCACTTAGGAATCTGAGGGTTTCTTTCCTCCCTTCCTAGTGTAGGAGATTCTGCAGGGAGAGGTCTGGTGCATTATCAGTTTTTTAGTTGCTGTTTTTGTCTTGATAAGGGCTGCTGGTTTTTCTGACAGTACAGAGTCTTCTGAATTTCTTATTTCTTGTGCAAGTGAAGAATTTTGACTGAACTTGAGTAGTCAGAGGAAGAAATCTTTTTGATCCAAACCTCTTTCACCTTCTACTGAGTCAGTCCTCTCAAGGAGAGATAACCAGCTGAGCACTCAGAACTCCTATTTGTCCTAACAGAAATTACTCCTGTGTTTAACTGTGTATTAGTATGAGGAGGAAGGAAAGTGGTAATTCTCAGGTCTTGGCCACCACTGATGCTTTTTCAGCCAGTTATGATTAGCTTGATCATTTAATTACTTTTCCAGCACTAAGAATAAATATTGCTTCGCAGTGGAGAACAGAACAAAACTGCAGGTGTTCCTTCAGTAGAGCAAGACTGCTTTTCTCTAGTCTAGCCTTTTGTTGTTACAGCAGTGTTTCCAGCTGTGATACTTCCTTGTTGCCAAGTAGTAGTAAATAGCTGTATAAATCACAGTAATGCTTGTACCATTTGGGTACAGCCAATTGCGTTTTGACTCTAACGGGTGTACATATGCTTACTCTCATATTTCAAAGTTAATTGTTAATAATTCTGTGTAAGTGCTATCTTTGGGAATTGAAGAATGACCACATTTGAAGTGCTTCATCTTCAAACTTTTTATTTCATTCCTCACTTGAAGCATACACAATTTTATTTAAATTGTATTTTTAATTTATTTTCTCCAGGACTGTCTTCAGATCTAGAAGTCAGTAGCTATTTCCTGCCTAACCTAGAGTCAGTAACAGTGCTGGGATGTTTGATTTAGGACAGCAAATACAGACAGGTTCTGTCCATGCTCTGCAGGCAGAGCTCAAAATGCTCGAGAGAGGTGGTTTGTGCCTCTATACTGGCACTTTCAGTCTGGAATCCAGCAGAGTTTTGCTGAGTGTTGTTCATGTTTCTCAGGAGGAAATGGGTAGGTAGGGAGCCGGTGTGGATGGGAAGCTCACTGGCACTGGAGAAGGACGAGTGGAGTAGTGAGAAGGCTGAAAAGGACTAGTGTCCTGAGTTGTTTGTTCTCAACTTTCTTCTTTGTACAGAGCTATAGGCATGCCTGGCTTCTTGTACACCTGCAAACAATAGTTTGCTGTGGAAGCTTACACTCAAAGCTGAATGAGGGGTGGGACTCGGGTAGCTCTTGAGGGTGAAGAAAAGGAAGATCGTGTGTTACATAATGTATAGCTTGGGTTCGTGCTGATTAAAGAAACCTGTATCTCCACAGGCATTTTCTGTCTTGCAGTAGGAGTAAAAATAGATTCTGCTGACAGGAAAATAATAAATATGGGTAGAAAAATCAGACTGCTTGTTATGCTTTTGTTCAAAGCATGTTGAGATGGACCTGAAGTGGAACCCTGACAGAGTTTCTCATCCAGGCTCATCTGAAGACCAGGAGACTGATTTGAATTGGCAAGGCAACCCAAATCCCAGTCTGTTGATTAAAGATGATGGAGAGCTGCTTATGGATGAACATCTTTCCCCCAGGAAACTGGTGAGTAGACATCCAAGTTTTTAATGAAGTGGAAGAGACAGACTGGCATATACAGAGCTATATTAACCTTCCGACTGCTATTGTACTGATTGTGGATTGTTGCCTTCTGACATTTAGCTTTCTGTGTAAAGTGGATTCTGTCTTATGAAACTATATCAAATGTTTGTCCTCCTTTCACCTTGTTTCATATCAAAAGTATTCCCAGCATGAATATGGCTGTGTTTACTGCCAGGATTCTTGAAGTAGAGTGAAGAAAAGTACAGGTAGCATAATTATAGTCTTCACGGATCTCATTAATGCCAACTGGAGTACCTTGAATCTTAGCATTAGAGAAAGAATTTACATCAATCTTGTTCTGGAGATTGGAAATGTAACTTTAAAAGCGCAGGTTTTTTTCCTCTGAGTTAGTGAAATCCTCTGTCCTGCTAAAAAGCCAATTAAAATATTCTGCAAATTATAGAAGTACTTTCTATACATGTCAAAGTGGGAGGAATTTCAAAGCATATTTGAAAGCCACCTTTCTTTTAGACTGGGGAAAATGATTTTGGTATGCAGCCTGTTGAAAGAGAGTAACATGCTGAAATGTTCATGAAGGAATTCACTTTGTGAAAGAATATTTGGTTGTACACTGTATTGTACTTGCTCACGACTAATTAAGGGTGAAATCCTGTGGGATGTGTAGGAGCTAACCAAACAATGTCACTTTTCTGTGCTAAAGGAAGGGAGAATGAGAGCAGAACTTGAGGAGAGAGGCTTTCTATGTTGCAGACCTACAAAAGAACCTCTCTTCTGCTGGGGAGCATTTGTGGAAGATAGATGAGGCTGCCAAGGCTGTGGTTCAGGTGCTCCCAACAGCCATGGTGGTGATGGCAAGTGTCCATAATCCCCTGTGTATCCGGGGCACCAGTGGAGCGACAGGAGTTTCTGCAGGGAGCATATTCCAGCTGCGGGCTTACACCACTCCCTAGCCACTCCCAAACTGCATTCCAGTCACCATTTGGACCATGTGCTGTACATTAGGCAGAACTATTGTTCCCTAATTAGCCAAGTCTTTTAGTGTTTATAAAATGGTTGGAGATGCAAAAACCCCTTTCTGCATAGTGGGTATTTTAAGTGTTCTGGAGATAAATTGCTGCATGGTTTTATGATCTATGCCATTCACTTTCCTTGGGCTCGTGAGAACCTCTGACCACTTCTTGGTCTTTTTTTAAAACCTGGCATAGAATTGGACGAGTCTAATGTGTTTGTGGCCTACAATAGCCTGTATAAATCTGATAGGAACCTCTCAGATTATCCTGTATTTTTAGGACACAAACCAAAGCCCATTAGAGTAACCAAAACAGCTGCCCTCTGATTCAATCAACTCTGAATGAAACCCTTAGGAAGTTCTTTCATTGGCATGATGTTCTCTTTCTGAACCACTGCTGCTGTGGAATTAAGTTCACAGCAAACTGTAAGCAGAAAAGTGTATGTAAGGCAATGTTACCTACATCCCGTGAAGTTGCTGTTTATTATTTTGTAACTTTTTTTAAAAGTGCAGGTAAGAAGTTAAATCATTGAGTTTTGCCTTTTTTGAGATTGTGGATTTTAACATTTGTAAATAATCTAACTTCAAAGATTCTTTTAAATGAAGTACACTGTCCTGCTAATTTTTCTGGACATAGTTATTTCCTGCCCTGGAGCCCAACATTTGTGTTGGCATCGCTGGGATACTTCCTGCTCAGAGGAAAAACTACATGACATTGTCAAGGAAACATTTACAGTGTTTATAGCTTGTTTTAATAACATACCCCATCTACCTATTCTCTGACCTTTATGTTGATCACATGTTGCTGCCATAAGTTTACTTCCTCTGGATTTGCAAATGTTCAGAATGTTCAAACATTTAATACAAAACAAGTTTTCACATGTAAGGACCCTCATGCCATTGACAGTCAAATGGTTTGAAAGGTTGTCTTGCTTAAATCAATACAATTGCAGTATCTTTTTGATTGTGTTATTGTTGTGAATATTTTAGGAGTTACTGATTGCATCTGTTGAAGTGCTCTGAGAAGGAGACTACTAGACTTTTGAAATACAGGCTCATTAATGTAAAATTGTTTTACATTCAAATAAGGGCATGGGCCACACTTCTGTAGTGTTGTGTAGGCAAATTTTTGGACACCTTATGGATGTTCCTGAGGAAGGTTTTTTCCTGAGACACATACTCAGCTTTACTCCTTGTCCTCACAATGGTCTGTCTTGCACCACTTCAGTCTGAGTTCAGGAAAGCTGCAAAGTCTCTGAATTGTGCAGACTCTCTGAAGATTGGGCACCTTGAACTCATTTCTGCCTGCACATTTGACTCATTTTGCCCTTTTTCCAGGGGAATGGCTGTCCATTTTGCAGTGAAAGCATTAGCAGTCTGCATTATTAAGAACTCTCTAAAACTTATGATTCTTGTGTTCCTTCAATTTTTATCTGCCTGCTACATTGTTTTTCTCCAAAGAGAGGAAAGTTTGACTTAGACTGATTTTTTTTTTTTTTTTCCTTTCCTTTTTGCTTTCTTGGACTGTGTAGAACTTCTACAAAACCATTGGACCGTTGCCCATTTTCTTCCACTCCATTGTGGATTCCCTCACTTCGACTTTATGCTCATTCACCACAGAATTTGTAGTCTTCTGTAAACTTGTTTCAGCATAATGTTCACTTCAAATCCTGTATGATTCCATATTTCCATTATGTTAACCACTTCTAGTTTCTTCTTGCTGCCAGCTCTCTTGTTGCACTGTCATGTAACTCTTTTTATATTTGAATGTCCTTCATCCAAGCTACAGGTCAAAAGCTTTTAATGCAAGGCTTGGTATCATTAGATGTCATTTTTATTCTTTCTGCTAGTATCAGTATCCATTTTCTGGTATACTCTTTAATCTTAACTCTATATGAATAGGCCTTCTTGCTTTTCCATTTGTACCTGTCCTATTAATGTTTTCAGCTCTATATTTTCCTAGTTATTTTCCTATTAATATTTCCCTGTTCTCCCCATCCTTATGCATGGCTGTCAGATATTGTAGAATATCAGAGTGAGCAAATTCTCACTTTGTTCTGAAAACTGGCTAACAATGGGTAATTAATTTTTAACTCTATTAGGGCTGTGACACAGATTTTTCATTAAATGTGGAGAAACTGAAATTAAGGGCGCCACCTGTCTTTAATCACATTTTTATTTTGTTCTATCAACCCCCATCCTCTCCCTGCTGTTTGCAAAGGATCTTTTCCTGACTTCCACTCAAAGCATTCCATTTCTCAGAAGAAACTCATTTTACAAGGTCAAATGATCTTCCAGACATTGTCACATTATAAAACCCAATCACGTTTGTGTGTGATCTTTAGAGAAGAAAAGAAGTATTCTCTAATTTTGCTTTTTATTGATCCTGCTCCAACTAATCATGTTTTCCAAACTTAGGAACACGTGTTCGGATGTGGTGTTTAATTTTGTTGCTCAGGAGGTTAGGGTGTATTTCATATGGTATGCACTCATCCTCAGGGGAAAAAGAAAATGCTGGAGGGTCCTGGAACAACAGATTGGATTCTTGCTGAAATGGCTCAGTTGTTTCCTTTTTCCTTTTGCAGAAAGTTTTCCTTACACTTGTAAGATAAATGGATTTGAGGAAAAAACTGGACATCAAGGAAGTGCAGAATCTTGATAAATTATGTATAGTAGGGGAATGGAAGTGACTGAATTTGGATCTGCTGAATCCTTCATTACAAATATATAATTTCTTTTTTTTTAAGTTTGAGGTTTAAAGTTTGAGGAGTCCTCTGCTCCAAGCATAGCTAGTTTCAAAGTTAAATCAGTTTGCTCGAGGTAGCAGATAGTCGAGGTAATAATTTGAACTGGAAAAAAATTACAAAGCCTCTTTTAGATTCAGAGCTTTCCTTTTATCAGTTCCTTCCTTAACTCTAATACTTTAACATTAGTGAAGACTTGTAGTTGTTATATTAGTGTTCATCCTGCTACTTAGGCATTTGATGTTTTACTTTCAAATTTTCACATCAACAATCTTTATATTTATATGTATGCAGACACAAATGCATGCTTTTTTATGAAGAAAACTCAGATATTTACTTACAACCACCAGTGCTTAACTAATATAAAATGGCATTACAGTCTTGAGTTTTCCATGTTCAGTGATACAATCTTGACCAATGATTGTAGCTACTGTCTGTGTACCTGATTCCTAGACAAGAAAAATAATTAATGGTGGGGTATAACTTTTGTAATACCTCGGTGAGGGAAAGTAAATCCTTAAAACAAGGATTTAATGGATGTAAGAATGTCTACTGTCCTATTCATTCCTGACCTGCCTGTTAATTCAGCACGCAGTTGAAACTTATTTTTTTTTCCTCCTACAGAAATGGCAATGGGGTATTTCTGGGAGATCAGTGAACCTCTCATCTTGTTTCTGGTGCCCTACATGCCTGCTGCAGTTTGCAGTCCTTAAATTTCCCAGCAACTTGCCACATCAGATCCTTAATACTGATTTTACAAAAGGTGTCAGAACTGTGAATCCCCAGCATGAGTCAGTGAGGAGCTGAACTGTAGATAGCAAGACTAGGCAAGGTGTGACTTGGGGACTTCAGCACAAGAATAAAGACATCTTCACTAATGCATCCACCACTACTTAAATTTCGTATTTACTGCCCTCATCTACACTTCCCATATAAGCCAAGAAAATCTCTTTTTCTAGCACCTAGCTAATCTCTTCATCTGAGCTGAGAGAAGAATGTATTTATATGAAGAAAGTAGTGGAAAACAGCTAAATATTTTAGTTGTGGGTATCTGCAGCATTTAGCCCTTTTGAAAGGAAGTTTGCATGTGAGGCAACAGAGTTCTGTTCCCTTTCATTGAATCACTTAAGGCCTATTAATTAGCTAATATTTTTCTTCTTAGAGGAAATATTTTGTCATACTTTTAGCAACTTTTTTTTTGTGAAGGAAAGATTATACTTGAGTTGGGAATTAAAAAAAAAAAAAAGGCGATAAACACATGAATGGACATGAATGTAAAATTTGCATACAGGTGTAGTATTCAAAGAGAACAAGCTCACCACTCAGGAATTCCTGTCTTAGCCAAATTAACCAGGATCAGCAAAATAAATGCACAGCTGGAAATATTTCTCTGACAGCTGCATGCAACTTGTTCTTCAGCAACGTGCCTACTTTTCTTAGAGTATGTGAAAAATCTAGGGAAGAGAGAAGACATCAATTGTGCATGCCCTTTTTGACTGAACAGATATTATTTGCCAATTAAGGGATTTACAGATAGCTGCAAGTGGGACTTGAACTGGATTTCCCAGCATCCCCAGGTGACTGCTCTGCCAGTTGGGAAGCTCTGCAAGCACAGAAGTATTTCTCACTTGCAATTTTTTACAGAATACTTACTGGCTTTTCTTGTCAGAGGAGAATCTTTCCAAACCAGTGGGCAGTCCCCAGTTGGTCAGACATTTGGCCAGACATTTTGCATGGTGGGAATGGTTTGTGAAACATCATGGACTTGCTTCTTAAAATACTGGCTAAATTATTTACCAAGAGCTTCTTCATGAAAAATAGTTTTACTCCTATTTTAAAGAAGGTGAAAAAATGTAAGGTGAACTTTATTTGCCTTTGTGTTACTTTTATGCTGTATTTAAAATATCTTCAAAGACTTGTGCCATGCTTTACCGTGGAAATGTGTCCTTTCAAATAAACAAATTTACAGTGGAGTATAAAACTGCTGCTCAGAATCAACCTTTAAGGCCACCTACTTGAACATGATGTGCCAGAAAGATTTTGATGTTTAATTCTTCAGAAAACATCTCTGACTGATACCTACCTTGCAGGGCTGCAGATGGGTGGCAAGCAGAGTCCTCTCTGAATACCAACACTCAGCTTAGAATTATATTGGTTTTTTCAAGGTGTCTTTTTGATATAAAATAACTGTGAATATATCCCACTCTTTACTAGAGCAGATCCTTGGTCCCTTTCTGTTTGCTTGGAGGCTGAGCAGCTGGAAACAGCCAAAGAAACACCTAAGTGGTACAGCACCTTCATGTCTGTAAGCATTCCTGGGGCACAGGCCACAGGAACGTTCTGTCCCTGCCTGTCAGAACAGCCTATTAAACTATGGACAGGCAGTCATTACCTGAAACCACAGTGGGACACCTCTGAATTAGGGCAGAAGCCTGTCCTAGACCTGGGATGGCCCCAGGAATAAAGAGAGACAGAGCACTGTAGCATCACTTCTATCCACATGGTGCCAGACATCTCTCTGTCCAAGCTGATGACCCCTTTAATGTATTGGGTTGTGATTTTTTTTTTTTTTGGAGCAAAATTAATCCAAAATATTCCTCCTTTCAAATGCTGATGAAGGTTCCCATGCTCTGATGTTGAACAACAGCATAAATAGAAGATCCTGCTAAATAGGTCTCATCTTTGCTTAAATGTTTCCACATCTTTCCCTAAATGTCCCCCATTCCTGGTGTCAGAATTTTAGCCATGGCATGAGAAGTATCACACTTGCAGGTGCACCAGCATGCCAAGAATGGTGTCTGGAGAGTACTAATGTCCTAAGTATCTTCCACAGGAACCATTCCCCACATATCCTTCTCTTCAACAGCCACCCTGGCCTTTGCTTTCTGACTCGCCTGCAGTCAACACCTGGGGTCTCAGTGCTTTAGTGCCTTTAAATGAGCTCATATCCTCCAGCCAAGAGCATTTCTCTTTTCTTTCATGTACTACACCAACTTGTGCATCCCACAGCAAATTGGTTTCAAGCTGTCCCAGCATTTCCTCACCATCAGCAGATGGAAGGACAGTGCTTGTCACAGAGACTCTTGGAAATGCAGAACAGGGAGGTGGGCACTGAGTATATGGAGTTTGTCACAGCTGGTTAGCACATGCTCCAAGGCAGCTATCTATGGTTCAAAGAGCTGGTGATGACAGCCAATAACCCTTTCCAGCACTGAAGTCACAGCTCTGCCTGTTGCAGTACAAAAATCCGGGGGCACTAAGCAGCTCATCTCTCAGACAGTGGAACAGGTACAAGTCGTGGATCAGGGAGAGGAAAAGGAGGGCAAGGAATGACACTGGTAAGGCCTGGTATGAGAAAAAGGAATAGGGAGCCCTAGATGAGGAGTGAAGATAACTTCGTGCAGGTTTTATACTTGGATTTTGAAAAAAAAAAGATCAGGGAGCAGAACTGTGAAGGGAGGCTGTCTGGAATACAGCAGGGGAAGGACAACATGCAGGGAACTTGCAAACAGCAAAGGAGAAAAGGACAAAATAAGGAGTAAAGGCTCCTTAAGGTATCAGGACCTTTTGCTACTCAGCTGACAAAGTGTGTGCCCTAAGCTTATTACTTGTTCTGAGACTTCTTCCTGGTCTCATGTAGGCTCTTAAAACTAATTTGATGGCCAGCAGGGAGGTATTTTTCAGAAGCTTCTTCCTTTAATGACAGTGAGCTTGCATCCAAATCCAGCAACCCGAGTGCATGGTTTTATGCCAGGACATTGGCCAGCTCTCGTTTCACACATAATCCCCTGCTATGTGACAGACAGTGTCATCTGCTGAAAAGGGTTACTGCAAAATGGTCTTGCCATGAGGGATCTTGTGTTCACTTGGAGGGAGAAAGCAGTCTGTAGCTGCTAAGTTTGCTGCCTTGGTAAGAGCAAAACACATTTTGTGGTGGCTGCATGTAGGGATATAGTCTTAGAAGCTTTCTTATCTTCAGTCTGCTTAAAATCACAGTTTTAAAAAAAATTAAAATTAAGATTAAAAAGTAATCTTAAATGTAATGTTTTAAAAATAGTTCAAAAGCAGTTGAAGGTATTGGATAATGCTGTTTCTTAGGAGTACAAGTCAAGACCTTATAAAAGGGACAGTTTTTCAAGAAGGAATGCTCAGCTTTTTCTGGAAACTACGTCCTTTTGAACTGTCATCTCAGTTACACTCAGACTGGTTTTGGTCCTTTGTAGGAGGATGTGGAACCATCAGAGGAAATTGCAGCCACTTGTGCACAATAAAAATGTTACCTAGCGAGCAGAAATGTTGCAACCACCATTTTTTCCTTGCAAAATTAACTGGATACTCTCGTGGTTATTTTTTCTTCCCAAAACTCATAAGCAGAGGTTGTCCTACACATTCTCTTCTAATGAATAAGTTCTCCCTTATTAAAAAAACCCCCTAAAGAATGTTGTAGCTTTTTAATAGTGAGAAAATTTGTCTCCCATACATGGCAGTTACTGAATTGCTTTCTGCCTTCACCTTAAGTAAAGGCCCAAACGATTGGTGACAGTACTTTCAACCCCTGCTCTTGGTTGCATCATTGAGGAGGAAACTCTGGTCCCAGGGTAAGTAATTTTTTTGAAGTGGGCATATTCAGCCCCACATCCTAACTCTTTTGACTCAGAAAGGTGAAATTTCAGAAATTTCGCCACTATGTATAGCAGAAACAATTTCAGGCAGTTAGCACCACAAATAAAGCTTGGTTTTCATTTCTCAAGGATTGTTTCAGACTCTTCCATGAACCACTAAGCCGTGAGGAAGAAAGGATACAGTTCTTCTGATCTGCTTTGTTGAATTAATGCAGCTAAGCTGCTGTTAAGGGAGGTAGTGGGATATGTACCCTGAATGAGGGGAACTGGGGAGAGAGAAGCTGGATCACAGCAGGAAGAAATAAGGGATGAGAGCAGTGGTAATGTGAGATTGCTTCAGTTCCTTGTGCAGTTGCAGCCTGGCATCTTAGAACTTCACAGCCTTGCTGCAGTTTTCACTGGCAGTCTTAAAGCTTCCCTCTCTCCTCTGTGTATATCTTCTGCTTGTTTTTGTTCCCCCCTGCTTACCCCTGCCAAGGCAAAATGCACATGTGTGTATCAACACAGACTTTAGGATATTAGGAATGATTAGGGAGAGTCTGCATTCACAACACATCCTTGCTTAATGCAGTGGTTCATCCAATTGCTACAATTTTGTAAAAATAATGAAGGCTTTTGAGGGCCTCTATTTGCATTGCCTAGATACTTTCAAAGAAATTCATAGTTCTTGTAATTAGTGTAGTCTTCTGTCAGAAAAGTGAGCTGCTTGAGCTAAAATCATGTTTCCTGTTGTTATTTTGGCTTAAAAAATAAACAGTGTGTTTTGCTGGGTTTTACTATCAGCACCTTTTGAATTACAGGTGATGTTTAAAGTTAACACTTTTTATCTGCTGAGGATTAGTGCAAGATTTGTGCAAATCTTAAAGCATGGACATACTGTTTAAATGAAGCTAGCTGGCATGTAGGTCTGTTGTTGGTTTGCAGCTTGAATGTAACCCTGAGCCTTGACTCTTTAAGCAATGTGTAAGTTTTGGGAGACTGGAGTATTTGGGGGCTACAAGGAAAGAAAGGTCTTTGAATACTACATTCATTTCAATGTGATTGCACATCTAGCCATGTTGACCTGAAATATATGTTGACAAAACACTGGTTGAAAATCTTTCTACTCCTTTTTGCTGCTGTGACATCTGGTTTATTGCATGAGAGTACTCATATATTTCTGCTTATCTTTACAGAAAATTTTGGCAGGGGTAGATGATCTGAAGCAAGTGAAGGCCCTAGAGATGCGAGTAGACACCAGAGAGATCAGCTTGGGGAACTTTGGTAAGAAAATACTTTATTTTCTGCTCATCATCTTGAATTTTCCTTTATGGTATCTTGACTGGGGATTCACTAACCAACAGCCAGTGAAAAGTACAGTCCTTCTCTAGAGTTCTTGAAACAGGATCTCCTTGTACCTCACACTCTTAGATCTCTTGTCGTCTTATGTGAGGTTCTGAACAGGACTGGTAACTGGCAATGGGATGAGTGACACGACTTCTGTCTAAAGCCAATTAATTTGAAAAAATTTTCTTGTATGATATGCTAAGCCCTAAACGAGCATTTAGTCTTGTCTCTAGTGAAACAGGAACCAAAGATCAGCTTCTCTCTACTGTGATATTTCCCTGTGGCTGAGGAATTGCCAGTGGCATCAGGTAGCTTATGTTTCCAGCAGCCTGTCTGCACCTGGCACAACCTCACTGAACTGTGCTGGAAAATGAGCTGGAGGCAGGTCCTGTAGATACATCATTTTGATGAGCCCCAAACAGCCCTAACACTTGTCATTCATTTTTATGTCATCATCACTGAACCAGGGAAGTGAGAGGTACCAAAGGAATTCCCTCTGTAGCAGAGTTAAAACTGAGAATATAAAGCCTTCGATTTTTTTCCCAGTACTTGCAGTCATTTTCTGTCCTATGGATTCCTGCCACACCCAAGTCCATCTTCTGCACCATTGAAGCTGAATGTCTACTGCAGGGTAATATTTTCTGTGCTGCAAAGGAGCCATGTCCCCAAAACTGTGTACTGGTGCTTTCAGACAAGCAGTTAATTTTTCATATGCAAATGACTAATGCAACAGCTGACTAGCTTTAATGGGTCTTTTGATGTCTGTTTGTCAAGAATGGTTGAGCAAGAGCAGTGAAGGGGGCTTTTGTTTTGTATATATAGCCCCTTTGTATTGGTTATTCTGTTTATTTCATGAATAAGTCTCTTTCTCATAGGCACTTGATAATTTAAGGTAAATTACATCCGTTTCTTTCAGCCATCATAATCTATTCAATCATGTTTCCTCCAGTTGATAAGGAAATCTCATTATGCCATTTCTGTAATGCTCAAAAGTGGTGCTCCCATTCCTATGCCACTTTACATTAACTGTGACAGGCTAGCAAAATGTTTCACCTTCATCACTCTCTACTTTCCTTTCCTTTCCATTACTAGAATAAATCCCTTCTCCTCCCCATGGTTAGGCTTTTGCAACCTTTACAAAATACAGAGTACAGAGCACCATGTCCATGATGCAAATAATTTCCATCTTGTTTATCTCCCACTGTTCACACCAAGAGTTGGCCCTTGAGGACCATAAAAAGCACCACCTGCAGGTCCCCACTGCTTTTGAGAATAACAGAACATCAAGACCATTCTGAATTTCCTTCTGGTTGTTTTTTAAGATGCGTTTCTAAGTTTTCTTCCTGTGAAAATCTCTTTGCAAATGTCAGCAGGTGGCTAGGACAGAAAGTTTACTTCAGTTTCTTTCCATTTTTTTCACATAGCAAATGATTTTTAGGCACTTGGAGTAAGGCCTACGTGTTGAGGGGTTTTGCAGAGCAGTTTGCACCTCCACTGTGAGTGCTGCAAGCAAGACTGCTGTTGAAGATGTTGGGCTCATTGCTTGCTCCCTGCTGGCTGCCTGTCTCTGGAACTGTGCTGTGACCTGGTCTGTGGTTACAGGGGTCTGGAGAAATAGCCTGAGGAAAAGAGTAGAGTTAAGAACCAGACCAGCTGGAATGACAGACGTTCCAGTGTGATAGGATGTAAAGTTTTCCCCCTGTTAGGACAGTCAAGCAATAGGAGAATCCAGAAAGGTTTGGAGACTTCATCCTGGTAGGTTTTCAAATGGGTGAGGACCTGAGCACCCTGATCTCACAGACAACCTGGCTATGAGCACGATGCTGGGCTTGAGACTTCAACTGTTCCCTCCAGCCTGGACTGCTCTGTAATTTGGTGTTTCTTTTGCATTTCAAACCTGGTTAATAAGCTTTCTTTATACACGTATTAAACCACTTCACCTTGCTCTCACTGTATTCCTTAGTTATGGAAGGTGGTAAGAGCATCTTTATCATCAGCAAATTTTTTGGATGATCAGTCCACGCTCAGTAAACAATATTGTTGTGATTGGTTTTATGTGTAAAGATAAAATAGGCCATGGAAGGTCCTAAATGAAAGCGTTAAAAGCTAAAGGACTGCACATAATTCTGAGTCATCTGCAGCCTTGCACCACTCAAATCCCAAATTTACACCACAGTTTTCACTTGAGAAACATTTCAAGGTTCATAGCCTGTGTTACAGACTGTAACACAAACACTCAGAGCCTAAAGATTTCCAGAGTGATTTAAAATTTGTTGCTTGATGTTTTTCTTGAGACCATTACACTTTGGGATGTGCTAAACTTTAAAGCACCATCCTGTTAACCTTGTCTGGTTTGTCAGGTCTGCCTCTACAAAATGGTATGACAAATGGTGGGGAGGAGGAGTTACTTTTCTTTGGGACAAGGTGTGGGCTAAAACATGAAAATACTTATATTGAAATATTTTCATGTGATCAGTTTTAAAATTAAGGAAAGGCTTCATGCCAGAGCTTAAATCTGAATCTTTGCAGGGCTTGGGGTAATTGCTGAATTCTCTAGCTGTTTTCAGTGCACCTTGCTGAATGACAGATGAAACACTGAACACCCTGGCAAGTCTTGCATCCAGCTTTGCATATCTTGGAGTTGATTTGTGTGCTACTCAGCTGCATATAAACCTCAGTTCATATTCAAACAGAGGGACTATTTCCTTTTCATTAGCTTATCCCTTCAGTTTTGATTGCTGACAGGTATGGAATTGAATTCATGACCAGCTCATAGAAATTCCTGTTGAAAATAATGGTGGGATAGAGTCATTTAAGACACTCCATAGTCCTCTTATTTCTAAGTAATTTGAATAGCTCCAAATCAAGTTACCCACAGTGCTGTTCGCTGGTCCTTATTGAATTGTTGCCTGCTGGTGGCCAGGCTAAGCTGATTACGTGTCTGGAGATTGCCACTTCCCTTGCAGGCGTTTTATCAAGGCAAAGCTCTGCCAAGGGTTCAGGAGAAGCCATGTGCTATTTCTCATGCAGGGACATCATCTCTCTTTCCTCTTGCCCTGTTTGTTGGCACTTCTGCTGCAGGGCTGGGACACCTCTGCTGGCAGCCAGCATGGCAGCAGCAGGTGCTTGCATGGCCAGGGAGCAGCACAGAGGCTGGAGGAGCGAGTCTGGCACGGGTGTTCCCGCTCTGGATGGTCTTGGCTTAGCTGCTGCTGGCAAACTCACTGAGCAGGGCTTGGGCAGGGTCTCCAGGAGCCACAGGTATGTACTGGAGCAGTGTGCTCAGGTGAAACCCTGCACTGATGTGTTTTCTGTGAGATCCCCATCTCAGGTAGCTCGATTGCAGCTGCCTTGAGTTTGCCTGAAAGAGCTGTGGTCTCACCTCCATTTGTACTGCTCAGTTCATCCCAGAAATGTGCAAAAAAATGCGTGTGTAGAAATAGAATTGAAGTTATGTATCTTGCTTGATCAAACACAGCTCAAGTGAACTAAATAGACTGTTTAATTTGCATATCAGGTTGCTCTTGCTAGAAGAGAGCAGCCTGTTTTCATATGCCCGTTTTGTGATGTAGGATCAACAAAGCACAGTGGTTGGCTGATGCCAAAGCAAGCATTTGTCAGTAATTTCTTTTCTTTTGTTTCTTTTTCACTAGTCTGTATTCCAAAAGACACAACAAGTCAAGCCACTATGATTTCTTGTTAACTACAGAAAAACAAAGATATATGATACTACCTAAAGAATACTTCATAATGTAAACAATAAGTGTTAGAAGTGTTGTAACTTGCAGAATATAATAAAACCAGCATTTTGGCTTCTTTCTCTTTACTCCTGGGCTATTTTCTAAATGTCTCCTGCTGTACCAAGGCATCTTGGAAAAACATCTGCATTTCTACCCTTCTTGTGAAGTGCAGCACTTGAGGCAGTGTTGTTGAGTATATCTGTCTGTCACTTTTGTTCACCTAACTTGCACATTGATTTCTTTCTGCCCTTCATTTAGTTTTGTTCCACTGGTACAGTAGAATAATACATTGCTGGTGGTTAATTTCAGAGCTATGTAACAAAACCAGTCTTTAGTGAAAGGGAATCGTAGACAGATGAGATAACACTGCTTGTCATTCTGAATTCTCAGCCTTGTCCTGCAATCATCAGCATTTCTGTGGACCATTCTTGTTTATAAAAATCAAAATTATACAAAGGAAGGCAGTTTCTGGATAAGGAATATACCACCTTCTAAACATATACCGTACTTCTAAAATAAAGATTAGAAGTTATTACTGTTGTATTTTAGAGTATTTTTATATGTTAGTATCATGTGTCCTTGCTCTGAGGAAAGATGCCACGAGGGTTAAAATTAAGAAAATTAGAACTACACTGTTACATTGGGGTAAGTATCTTGTCACCTTCATTTTACAATTTTCTCTTCCTAATTTAATCTTCAGGCCTCTAATCGATTTATAAGGATTTGAGATTCTAAAAACCAGAAAAATCAATGGAATAATGAATTCTTAGCACCAAAGAATAATTACATATCAATATGAAACTTAAAGGAGGGAAGAACCTGCAGACTTGCAGAAATACATTGCAGGATATTGCTGGCAGAATTTTGCACCACCACACATTGTATACTTCTATTTCAAGCTAGTAAACCACACATTAAAGGGTAACACTTTACAAGTTCCCGGGGATAGATTGTGCCAAAGTGCAAAAAAAATCTGAGATGGAGGATCAAGTTACAATAATGAACTCACCAGATGTGAAAATTGTATTATCAGCCTGTCACTCGGCCTCTTTGGATCCTTTAATAGCTGCTTCTTTCCTGAACCAACCCTAAATGCATTCAGTGAAAAGCTTTTTCTTGGGCAAGTCTCTCCATTTCTCTTGACTCCTCACTCAAATCTTCTGCTTAACACTAGTCCTTAAAACTCATTTGCCTTGTAATGCTTTGCAACAGCCTTTGCTTGGTAACCCTTTTACCTCTCTGACTGAATCCAAGGCACTATTGCTCAGTTTTGAGCTGGAACTGGGAAGGCTGCTTCACCCCACTCATTATTTCCTATAACACTTCAGGGGATGACATTTAATCTCTTCATCCTTGTCAGAAGCAGGATAGAAATTTTTTAGAGTCTAGATATTCCTTTTTTTTTTGGAGGGGTGGGAGGGCATGCTTTATATCTGAGGGAGCCTTTGCTCTGTAGCTAGTATGACTGCTATGATAATTAACAGAGATCCTAATATTTCTTCTGCCAGGACTCCAAATTATTTTGTTGCCATATGTATGTATGAACATATAGAAAACTTATTTGACATGAGAAAGCATACCCTGCAGGATGAGGATTGTGTGTTCTGATTTGTTCTTCAGTTTTTGTGGACTGTGGAAAATGATTGAAAAACAAGGCTAAAAGAATTGCACAGTGTGTTTCGAATTTTTTTCTATTTTCAAAAGTGCTTTGCAAAGCCATGAACTTAAATACTTGCAGTACAGCATGAAGATCAATATGTGCATTATGATCACTCCAAAATAACATGAGATGGAGATAATGCCTCTATTAAAACATGATTTATTAAAGTGTTTTTGCCATAAATGCTCTTGTTCTGTTTGGGGAATGAACAACATGACCTCCTTTCTTTGCTTTTGAGATCCCACTCCCCTTTCTTTTTTTTATCCTTTGCAAAGCACTCGACTGGTGTCCTTCTGGACATTGGTAAATCACCCTTGCCAGACAGTGATTATTCAGACAAGTCATAAAAAATATTTGCTGAGAATACATTTGTATGTTTCAGCAATGATCCAGCTTGTCTAAAATTGGTATTACTTCTACATGGTTGCATGTTACACTGGAGGATGCTCATCAGCCTTGAGTAAACTGTGCTAGTGGGAATGGGTAAACATTTGCTACTGTCCATAAGAAATGGCTTCTGAGACTGGAGCTTATGTCTAAATTATTCTGTACCTCAGGGGGATTTGGTATATGCTTTTGATTCAGAGATACCTTTAGAGTGAACCAAAAAGTCTCACAGGGATATGAAAAAACAGCATTAATTAAAGTAATAACAACAGAATAAAAACAGAGGGTTTTATAGATATGAAACTTGTACAATTCAATGGTAAACAATTGTATCCAGAAAATTAAAAGAAGAAAGCAATGCTTTGCAAAATGTAGCATTTAGGGGACCTATGAACTATAAAAGATGATGTTGTGACATGGAACATTATGTGTTTGCTGTATCACTTAAAGTTCTGTTTTGAAGAAGTGTTACTTGGCTGTGTATCCAGTAAGTCCATCACTACTTGCCATTAAATAGGTCATGGAATGCTATGCTCTAAAGTATCCCTTAGCTCTGCAGAGTGTCACACAGTTAAAAGTCAATCAGGATGGGGAATCAGACCAAAGAAAACAGACACCCATCAAGCCAGTTTCTTTTGTTGTCTGTCTGGCAAGGTGCCATATCAGAATTTCCAGTGAGGGGTTCAAAAATTGTAATTGGGTAGTCATGCAGACAATACGTATATGTTTCAAAAATGCAAAAGATGAAATAGTTTTTGAGTGAAATAATCTCATTGATTTTCTTAGAAGTCGTCCAGCATAGGCCTGGCAGAAACAGCTAAGAAATGCTTGTAAAATTAAATGCTTCAACTTGTAATTGTCATAAATTTCCTTTACTCTAATCCCAGGTCCTCAAAGTGAGTCTTTATTTTGTTCCCACAGGTGTGCATCTGCCTAATCTGAGAGAACTGAAGTTGAACAATAGTTTGCTTGAATCTGTGAGGTAAGAAATGAATTGTTCTGTGAAATAAATATAAAGAATAACAGCCCTGTATTTTATTTAAGTGATAAAATCTTCATTTGTGCTGCTTTCATTCCTTCCATTTCTCCATGCTATGATAATGGATTAGGTCATGAATATATGCTCCACTACCACAGAAGTTTAAGGATGGGACCTGATCTAGAATAAATCAGTGTAGCTCAAATGGTGCAAATGAATTAGCCCTAGTTTGCCACCAGGGTAATTCTTTCTATGCTGAAGTCCATGGAAATTTGTTGCACATTTGAAAGGAGCTAAAAATTCCCCTCTTATCTATGTCTGTTTGCTTGGATTTCAGTGTTTCAGCCTTTGGGCTTTTACTGTGCACAGTAGCCTGTTGTGTACAGGTCAGACCAGTTCCTCAGCTGATTAAAATCACTTTGGTTTTACTGAAGTCAATGGAATCAGGTTTATGAGAGCTGCTGTGAAGCCTGCGTGTCCCTGGCTTGCTGAGCTGCATGAAAACATCACATTTTCTCCCAGACAGCTGGGGGGGGAGTTGGTTGGTTGGAAAGGTAGAAGTGAAAACCATCACAATGAGGAAGCAGAGCTGTCTTCTCTCTCCTGTGCTGTTACAACCCTTACTAATTAATGCAAAGTGGAACAATCCAGTTCATATCAGAAAAGGGGCTGTGTAAAAGGTCCTGTTTTAAACACATCTGCTCTCTGGCTTTGTATGGATATCTGCTAAAGTCATGGGGGAAAAAGCTGTGGCTTTGCCAATTCTTTTTAAGAGAACATGTTCCGTCATAAGAAACAGCAATAAATTCTTCTTGGGCTCTCTAAAGTATCTAATGGACTTCAGTTGCTACACCTTGATCTCATTTTCCCTTCTTCTGGTGATGAGATGAAGTATCTGCAGTCTAAATTTTGTTTTTCTCACCTTCTAATCCATAATATGTAAAAGTGGTGATTCTACATTGCTGCAATTATTTTAATAACAACCGACTATTGTCATAATCATGAAATTGCTCCATTATTGCAATGGAGGAGTAAGTAGTGGGTGAAAAAATTTAAATTTTGATAATATTAAGAGATATTTGGCAATATTGAGAAATACTATATTAAAAAGAAAAAATAGCAAAAGTGGCTTTTAGTTTGACCAAAACTCCATATTCTCTTAAAATGCGTCAATGGGAAACCATTTGATCAGTTCTGTTGGTGCTGAATATAAGAATGCAGTTCAAGAAAACTAAACTGCCTGACTCATGATTTTAGCAGGATTTTGTACCTCTGTATTCTGAGACTCTAATTTCTGTCATGAAAAATTCTAGCAAACCATTTTCTTTGACCTGACACCCTTGTGGACTTTGATGCAGGGAATGCTTGCTCTCGAGTTTTGATTTGATCTAGTCTAAAGCAAACATGTTTGGGCTTGGATATCAAGTGTAATAATGTGATGTTTCCCAGGTACTCCAGCCCCAGGAGAAGCTACCTGCTCCTCCTCCTGTGTGCCAGTTAAATGCAATTGTCAGGGAATAGGTAAAAGAAGAAGATTTTGTTAGCTCTCCTAGACATGAACTCAGTCTATAGAATTACAGCAGTAGCTTTGCTTTATTAATTCCTATCTTTGACAATCTGTCATTGATAAATACAGATCTTTTAAGGGCACATCCCATGCAAGCACAGCCTTGTACTTGAACTTTATTTTTGGATGTCTGCATCATGTCAATTTAATGCCCATTAGAGCAACATTGCTGCCACAGCAGTAGTGATGCCTGCTATACCTAATGCAACATAGCTGCTCCCATTCTAGAGGCTGCTGCCATTTATTCCAAAATTCAGAATCTTATTTCTGAATTAATCTTGTTGATATTTGAACTCTGTCCAAAAAGTAATTATTTTGTTTTATTCAACCCAAACCTTGCAAATGAGGCTTTTGAGGATGACAGAAGAAAAAATGTTCTTCCTTCTTACTGAAGGTAATTCCCACAGATTTTGCCAGCCATAAAGTCATAATCATTGTGGTTGTAATTTGAAAATGGGCAGCATGTCTTGTAAGGACCAACTGGAAGATTGGTTTTATTTTCTGAAAAGAAGGCAAGGACAGAAAAGCAGAAAAAAGATAGAGTGTTTTGTATATACTTGGGATGCTAAAAGCAGACATTCTTTCTAATGTTATTTATTTTATGTTATAAAAACATTCTGGTGAATCGTTATGAAGAAAAGGCTGTCAGTGTGCATGCATGAGTGGGTAATAAGAGGTGAGACTTTATGTTTTGTCACTTTATTTCTGTTTCATCTTGTCTTGCAGAGTAGGATTACCTAATGATTTTGGGATGAAATGGAATTAAAACTTTTAAATTTTTTTTTCCACTTTGAAAATGGAAGATTAATTGACTTGGTAGATGTCAAAATGAAGGTTTATCATCCTGACTTTAGTTACTGATTATTTTGAGGCATTTATTCATCACATAGGAACTTAAGTTGTGAGGATGCTGAGGTGTGCATTGCCATGCACTGTTCAGTGGAAATCAAAGGAATCATGTTCTGGCAGTGAGGAATCAAGGTGTTCTTGTATTACAATTTTCTATGACAGATCAAGGCTTGTTAGGTTAGTGAGTTTGGATATTGGCTTCTCCTGATAGTTCCTGTGATTCCTTTGATGGGGAATGTGTTTGAGCTACCTTACTTGTAAATTCATGGTCCTTCCCCAATCCTCCTAAAACTTGCATTACTTTTGAGTATCTGAAACTTTGAAAGGAAACCATTATTAACTATTTAATTTAATTCAGTAGGAAAATATATGCAAGTTTATTTGCAGATAATGGATCTTGGTGGTTGAAAGGGATTTCTTTCTTGGCTGTTTCTGGGTTTTGGTTTTCTACTGGTCCTTTGCTAAAGGGAATGGCTCTGGAAAATCCAGTGTACTGTGAAAGGAAAAGAAGTTCATATTGTTGCTAATTTTCTAAATCACAATTTCATTATGTCCTTGTTTGGTGATCTTCACCCATTTGCTAGCAAATGAAAAATTCTCCATTTATGAACTGATAATTGAGGATGAAAAGTCAAGCCTATTCTGAAGAGTGCCTGCTAAAATCTGCCTTTTTTTTTTTTTTTTTTTTTTGGTCATGGCCACGGTCATCATTTTTTAAATGCTTCCAGTAGAAGAACAAGGCCAATGAATTACTGCTTCTGCTTTGGCATGTAGCCTGTGTATTTTTTTATCAGATTGCTTTTATTCTCAATTCAGGGATGAATGAAAAGATCTGTTTAAAAATGTTTAGATAGATATCTTTTCAAAAGGGCTTTTAAATCAGATAGGGGAATCTTGGGACCTGGTTCCCATAAGTTTCCAGAAGAAGCTGTTTCAGCAGCTGAGGTTCATTTCCTCCCATTCAGCTCTACACATTGTGGCCAACAGAAGAGTGATCTACTCTCAGGGCTTCTCAAGCAAGTGCTTCTAACAGAGAGGCTGTCATATTTTAAGTGAGATGAAATGCAGAGGCTGCAAAGTGTGGGGACAAAAGTGAGTATGGAGGATAAAGGGAAAGGAAAGCAGATTTTCTTCATGCAGATTGAGTTAACATTTCACTGCTGCAGTTCTCCAGCTGGTTTTGCACTGTTCCAGAAGCATCCCCCAGATGAAGAGGGAAGTAATCCTGGTCTGTTTCAGTTGTTAAAATTGTCTGGAGGTTCAAATGCAGAGTGCATTCAAAATCAACAACTCTTATGCTTTTATGAGCCTTAGGTTTTTGTTTTGGTTTTTTTTAACACCAGCTCCTGCAGACAAGACTAGCAACACAGGAGTCTCTGTACTCACATTTTGAAATGTTTTGAGCCCTCTTGGCTGTAAAAAAAGTAACTGTAAATATGAGCCAAGTGATTTGAGAAAAGATTTTGCTGATCATTTTATAACTTTAAGAAACTAGAGCCAAACAAATTATTTCTGAATTCAGGGTAAAGACTCTAAAGTAATGTTTAAAAGTATTTTTTGAGACTTGAATCAGGATCTTTAGGTATTGTAACTTAGCAATAAACCTCCTTTTTACCCAAAAAAGAGTTTAAGGAAATATAATATCTTGTGGTTTTAAAGCCACAAGAAGTTTGCCTTCAGTGACATTGCTCACAAGCTGAAAATTAAACATTAGTCCAATTGCTTTGCTGGGTCTGGATCAAGTTACACCATCTTGTATAAGACTGAGCCATGACACTGGTCACCCCAAAATTTGATGTACTACTGATAGTATATCTAGGCACCAACTGTTTTCTGGATAGTTTTCCCTCTAACAGGAAGAATGTTCCCTAAATTTGCTTTTTTTCTTGTCATTTTTACTTACTTCTTTCCTGTCTCTTTTTTTTTCCCACCAGTTTTTTCTTCCTTTTTCTAATCTTTTGCAATTACTGGATTACTGTTTGATGTATAGTAACATGTACATAGGTACATAGCTATCACATGTAAAAGCAACTGGTTTTGTGCAACAAGGATGAGCATTGCTGTTATGATATTTAAAATCCCCAAATAGTTTCTAAAGTCAATTCAGTTTGCATTACAAGTGCAAATGTTTGTCAAGAGATGATGTGTTTTTGTTACAGCACTTTCTTACTGTGTTTGGTGAGAAATCAGGGTGCTCTTACACATGCAGTCAGAGCAGTACTGCTCTGATTTGGTCGGGGGGAATCCCTTCATACCCTTATTTCAGCACCCAGAGCATCACTGTTTATTTTCATATTCACATTTCAGGATGGGGAAAGCATTTATTTTCAAATGCAGGCTAGTTTCTGTAGAAAGTGTTCCTCTCAATTCTTTTATGTAGCTGGACTGAAAGTCCTTCAGCTGTGAAAGTTGCTATGAAGTCTATCTTAAGAACATGTTCTTTGAGGACTTTGAGTGCTTTCCAGGAGCTAGGAAAGCATTTAAATTGAATCTTAATCTCTGTATTAATGAGTCTTCTCTGTATTAGTGCCTGCAGATCCCCGGGAGTATTACAAACCTGGGAAAAATTGCTGTGACCTCAGGTTTT